GGCTTGTCCGCAACTTTTTGGCGGTCACTGTATGTACAGAAAAGACAGATAGACGAACAAACAGACGAATACTCTTTTCCTTGCACAAAAAAGGATAGCTCTCTCTTTCTCATTGATTGATCCACGCTAGTTCTACACAAAGGACAAATGCTACCAACTTTGTTGTTTCCAAAATGAAGTTGATCCGCAGTTGTTCTTGACCAAAATTACGCGCATTTCGTACCATATGCACGACATAGCCTCTGCACATAGTGGCAAACCTAAAAGCGACCAGCAAAGTAAAGGACATGCTTTGTATCTTGCCTACAACACACCAGTATAAGCCTCATTTTGAGATAACTTTCGGTTTGCCTTGATTACATTTACATGTCCAACAGAAAAAGGCCGTCCTTACTGTGAGATGTTTGCTTTACTGCTGGGGATTGAGATGGTTATCAGAAACCCTATTATAATAACGCGCTAAGGCTCCCTTCTTTCTATTCTTAAGCGTGGAAACTATTGCCACGGTCACGGTTCAAGCAACCATGTCCATAAACCTTGTTCTTGCTTAAGGTACCCACGCATGTAGGTTCATCACACACACAAAAATAACCGGGTCCGATATTTTCAAAGATTGCAATACAAATCCAAACGCCTTTGGCGCGCACAATCGGATCGATATATAAACTTTTTGCAAGCTCAGAAATTGAGAAGCAAATCCGCAAGCCATGCACCTTGACTCAAACAAAGAACCAAGAGACTATTTCTTGGCAGAATCGATCCCAGAAAATGACTGCGTTAACCGTCAAGCCAATTTTTTATCACGAATCAAGAAGATTTTTGCTCCAAGATGTAGCTCGCGGTTTTTATCATTCTATGGCGACTATCGAGGAAGAAGAACTTCATTGGTACAAGCATTTGTTTTCCCACAAAAAATTCTACCTTCGAGTTGCATCAAAAATTCCGGATTTTATATTAAAAATTTTGAAAATGCTTTGTTGCAAACAACTCGTTCGAGATGGTCAGCATTGTCTAAATTTTCGAATTTTAAAGTCATTACGCTAGCACGAGAATGCATAATGCTAGAAGTATGACGCAATTCTAGTAAAATCAACATCGTAGCACGCGAAAATCATCATAATGATCTCAGAAAAAAACACGGTTTATAATCAAAAGGTAACGAGACGCACATGTGCACCTCATAGAAGGTGCACGCATTGTCTAGTACAATCAAACGTATTCTATTTGCTGATCAAAAGCAGACAAAAAGCACGAGTATATGGTTATAACCTCTCTTGACGCACTTTCGATGAACTGAGTAAACATTAATATTAAATAATTGCCGAACATATATAAGTAGGCACGTAAAACTATATTTGTTATTTCTACATGAATCTAAGTCTCATTTTTCTTTCCGTAAGTTCCCAGTAATCGCGATAAAATCGACTCATGGAATTATTCCAGATTTGCGTAGCGGCTGTTGCCGGAAGTTTCCACGAAACTAATTGTTCATTAGATTATTATACCAAGGCCAGACTCCCAAAAGAAAAATTCGGAATTAGTGACCGACAAAGAGAAGAACTGATAGATTATCTTGGCAGAGGGCCAGCGCATAAGAAACGCACAAAGCTATACTGTCCTAACGATGATCTAATCTGTTCGATCCTCTGGTTCACGGCGGAACGCGTGTGGAATGGAGTATCAAATGACTTGCCACCAAAGAGACTGGTATGCACTCCTTGGTCTATGACGCTGAATAACATAAGTGTTACAGTGGTACAATTGCGGTAATGAGATGATTGCGCACCTAGCTCGTGACGAGATGTACAGAAAAGCAAAAAAAGCAAAGAAGAGCTTGAGCGACTTTGCTGAGTTAAAAGAGTCAGCGAAGGAACTACAAGTAGATCTATCAGAGAAACTTGGAGATTTGGGTATGCGTAAGCTTACGGCAATCAAGAAGTAAGTCAGAATCT